CAGTTGCAGAGAGCGATGAGGGCTCCCCTCAGCCTCCTCTTCTCCAGGCTGAGCACCCCCAGCTCCCCCAGCCGCTCCTCCCCAGCCTTGGGCTCCAGCCCCTGCCCCAGCCTCGCTGCCCTGCTCTGGCCACGCTCCAGCCCCTCCATGGCCTTCGTGGGATGAGGGGCCCAGCGCTGAGCACAGCATTCGAGGGGCGGCCTCACCAGTGCCCAGCGCAGGGGCACCATCACCTCCCTGCTCCTGCTGGCCACACTATTCCTGATACAAGCCAGGGTGCCACTGGCCCTCTTGGCCACCTGAGCACACTGCTGGCTCCTGTTCAGGCGGCTGTCGACCAGCACCCCCAGGTCCTTTTCCTAAGCTCCTAAATGAGAAGAGCATCAGTTTCCAGCACCTTTTTTAAGGACGGAGTGGTGATGGGTCTTATGAAGGGGCGACAGTGAGTGTGCAGAAATGCAGCAAAGGGTGTGCCTGGGGGGGTGCATGTGCACCACCTGTGTGTGCGGCTGTGGGTGTCCGGTGACACATCCCGATAAGGCACAGGGAGGCCAAGTTGTTCCAGGGCTGGATCCAGGTGTTCGAGCTTTTCCCGTTTCATGAGTGGGGCATAAGACATCTGCCTGTGGCAACTGCTATGTGACTGAAGGCAACTCCTTACTTTCAGAGGTGTACGTAACCTAAATGTGAGCATCTCCTTTTAGACACATAAATCATTTCCTCAGTGCTTAATTAAGGCCTCAGGGGTTGGATATCCAGTGGTGCTTAAGAGATAACTACACTCAGTGGGAGCTATTGTGAACATTAAATGGTGCGGAATAACAGTGACCCAGAAAAGTCAAATCACAAATATCCTAAGTTATGCAAAATTACATCAACTTTTTAGAGAAGTGTTTTGCCCTTGTAATATCTTCTTCTCAGCTCTCAGTAAAATACAGATTGTGAATATTTTTCCTTTCAGAAACGTGAAATGAGATGAAATGGATCCACTCTGTTTATTTAACAGGATTTGATTCACAGCAGAACAAATTAACTGGAAAGCATTGCTAGAGGACTGGCGTAGTGCTGGGGAATGTTAATGTGTTACAGGGATTGTGCGAGGTAAGAATATACCGGAATCCGCAAATACTCACTCAAACTTCCTTATTCTTGGAGTGCCTGTTGATGCAGGGAAATGCTTATTATGCTATCACATGTATATAATAGTAATGATGATTAGAATAATAATAAATTATTATAGAATATATTACTATATTGTTTATTATTATTATATTGTAATATAATCCCGATTATAGGTATTGGGATTTGTATTTTCTCTGAAAGGTACATTTAACACTTGTTTTTTCAAGTGAGGTCCTTTCTTAACAAATTTTCATTGGCTTTGCATTTTTTACTTTGATTGCCTTAACATTCCACAGAGAAGTTGATTTTGCCTAATTATAATATCTGCAAGATGCAAGCCCTGATCTACAAGCAAAAAAAAAAAACCTGCTTCTGCGGGCCCTCGTAAATCCACCCGAAGAGAGAAGGGAGAATTATCAGATGAAGAAGAGAAATGCACACATACGTTTTTAAGCAGGTGATGGAGTTCTGTTTGCCACGTTAGTGCAAAATGTCACACGTTGGTGATGCGCGCCCTCCTTTGGTGCGCGGACAGTGAAGTCAGCTTAGCGTGTTGAGAGAGGGGGTGTCCTACAAGCCGATACCTTGGCAGATGTGTTGGAAGGATTGATGTGAGACGGTGCTGTCCGTAAGGTCACTGCTTGGTGTGTACCTCATGATGTTCTCCTTGCCATTTCCAAGGGCTGTCTCCACGGTGCTGGAGGTGATGGGACTGTTCTGCTTTTTCACTGTGGCTGTGCCTCCATCACCTCTATTTCTGCATTCACTAATAACCATCACCATTTAAGGCCCACGCAGAACAAATTATCTTAAGCCTTCAGGTGTGAGCCAGTTGTCCGCTAACCTGAATCACACTGTTGCCCTGTATTCTGAGATCTTGCTGCCAAAACAGAGCATTTCAACTACGGCTTTGCCGTATTTCCTGGCTCTTGTTCCACCTGAGAAGCAGGAGGTCCCCTCTGCCTGGGTGGTACCATGCAGCAGCCCCTGGGTGCTGTGCGATGAGCAAGGGCTGTGTTTGTAGTATTGAAACAAACCTGCGTTTCAAAAGAACAAGCAAGCGCCGAGGGAATTACGTGTGCCTGGCGTGGTATTCAGTGCCTACAGCACGGATGTGTTCCCCTGAGCTAGTTGTTTATCCCCCTCTTGCAGGCAGTGGAGACACGTGCACCTCTCAGAGACGCTGCCCCAAGAAGGGATGACTGACATCCAAGGAGCATCTGCTTCTCTAGTAAGGATGAACACAGTTATTGCAGCCGAGACTTTTGCAGTCAGCTCTTGGTGTGGTTACTCCCGAAGATGAAAATGTGACCTATTGCAACAGGATTTTGAGAACGGGATATCAGTGCAGGGCAGTAACTCTTCTTTGCTATGACCGGTGAAAGAAGCAGCTAAAGGTGGCCCTGCACTGGAGCGTTCCTGACAGTGATGGGACATCCTGGAGCTTGGCTGAGACCCTGTGGAGAAGAGTCTGGCAGCTATGTGGGCTTGCTGCCACCCCAGCGCTGGGCAGCACTGCAGAAAAAAACATTTTGTCTTTATTGTTACTGGTATTGCGTATCATCACACACGTCAGGTACCTGTCTCGGTCTTACCACGTTGGGTGGGTTTGAGCGCATGCTCTTCTGACTGTTGCCTCCTCCCAATGCCCTCTGCATGCCCCAAATGGCAACAGTGTGGGTGAGGACATCCCTGACACCATCCCCATCCACCCTAATCCATCCCTTGGTGGCAGCAGAGGGCTTTGCAGGAGAAAGCTGGCATCAGCAGGCATAGGCTGGACACTTGCTCCCTCTCCTTTCTGGCTGGAGGCGAATCAGCTGGCCACCACCCCAGCGCTCTGCCACCTGCTCTGCCTGAGCCCAGAGCTGGCTCTGATCTGCCCCCAAGAGCTTGATTCAGTATTTGGGACAAGCCAAACCCTCCGAGTCTTGCAAAACCAAATGCCCTTTTCTTTTGCTTAAAATCCTACTGCTTGCCCTTATTGCAATTGATAACAGTTTTGAGTCTTTTTTTTCTTTTTTTTTTTTTGACTGTGCTGTGCAGTTTGAGAACTTCACAGAAAACTGCAAAACATTGAGCCCAACGCACCCTCCCAGACAGGAAGGCGTCGGCACCACCCAGCTGTGCACCAGAACGATCCCTTACGCAGCACTAGCAGCCGTGCAGGAGCTGCGGCTGCTCCACGCCCTCTGCTCTCCTCTGTGCTGTGCAGGGCACACCGAAGCAACATCTGCAGAGAGCAGATCCAGCTGGTTTGTCTGGCACTAACGCTGCTGCGTACTGCAAACCACAAGGAGCACCTGAAATGCTTTGCAGAGAATGTATCCGAATGCTGCCCTTCCCTTGGAGGAGTGCACAAAGCCACCCGTT